TATATATATATATATATATATATATATATATATATATATATCCTAACGTACACGCACATGGATGCATAATTAAATATAAACACACGGTGAACACTTTATGAACACAACCTTAAAAACATTTGTACTAAGGTATTTAGAAGTAGTAGGTTTGGATTTTTTATTTTGTTGATTTAGTTGGTGTTTACAATATGTTCACAAGCTATACAGAATCTCGTAAATTTAGAGTGTGTTCAGTGTCCATAAATTACAATAGTATTTCTAAAAAATATTTACAATGAACTTACAGTGTATGCATGTAAGTTACCAGGAGATGAAAGAGGAGAGAGTAAAAAAAGATTTTAAATTAAATTAGATTTTATTTTTTAATTAAATTTATGTGGTCTATATTGGATCTTATGGATCTCACGAATTAACACTTTTTTTTTTAAATGTCTATATACATATGTGTGTGTGTTTAAGTAGCATCGACAATGTACCATAATGGCGGTGCAAAATTCCATGGTAAACCCAAAGTGAACGAGTGACTTGGATGATCTGGGACCTCAAGTCAAAGTCTCATTCATCATGTGATTTATAAGTGATTTCAGTGTAAAATCACATATAATTTGACCATTTTCGTATTCTTTTTTTTGATCACTTTATTAAACTTTTGAAATGGATTTTCAAATGGACATCTAAACACCAACAAGTTCCGGGTGTTAACATCTTGAATCAAAAGTTCGTGATATCATATGCATGCCAAATTATTATGACACCATACCCGATGCTTGAAGGCTATTTCGACAAACATCAAATATGTTATCATGTAAGGTTCCACATTGGTTGGGGAAGAAAACTAAGGTTGTCTAAGGGACTAGATACCCCCTCTATCAGACACGTTTTAAAACCACGAATCCAGGTGTGTAGACAAAACAAACAATATTTGTACAGTTAGCCTGAGCTAAGTTTGCCTTATAAGGGACCAAATACTTCATCTATCATACACACTTTAAAAACATGAGTTTAGATGTGTGACCAAAGTGCACAATATCTGTACAATTGGCATAAGATATTACATATCAATTACGAGGATTATTTCAATATTACACACCAAAATGCAATTGTATAAATAAAAAAGGGATGATTATGAAATTTGTAAAAGTAGAGGGAAAAGAATAATGGGTCGGATTTATCATAAACTCGAAGCGGCTAGTGCCCAAGAAAGGAACCATGGGCATTACCATCACTAACCCGAAGGGCATATCGTCAATAGCTTAAATGAGTTATTCAGTTCTTTCTTTCTTTAAGGTTTTCTCCGGATCTCATCCCTATCAACAGATAACATCAAAAATATCAAAAATAATATTAAACCCTTTGTATTAGCTATTTTCTTACTCGGTTTTTATTTTCTCCATACAAAATTTATAATAAATAGTTGAGGGGCAAAAGTTGGTTTTTTACAACATGAGGGGGTGTTAATGTAATTAACCGGTACGTAAAATATCAATCATAGTGGCATAACAGTAATTGTGCCGTGGAGGCATATAAACGGTGGACGGTTAACGGGTTGAATGAAACCTTTAGAAAGCTTATACATTCCATCCATGGCCGCCCATGGTTTTACCTCCCACTTTTTCAACACCATTTTTTCCGCACTTTAAATTCCAGACATTGCGCAATTGTGTTCCTAGACTTTCATCATCGATTGGAATTAGGAAAAGGTGGTAATCGGTTCGATATGGTTAAATGATCGGATCGGAGGTTGTTGATTGATTTTAAGCAGGTTTTCAATCGTGTTTTTTTGATCGATCAATGAGGATCTCCGATGGAAAGCGGAGGATAATTGAGGTAGACGATAAGAGTAGGAGAATTAGGAAGAAGAGACACTGCTGCGAAACCAGCATGACGATGATACGGCCTCCTCCGGTTACGTTTCCGTTGCAGAGGCTATATATGTCTTGTCTAGATGTTTTTAAAGGCGTTGATTCTGTTCCTTCGACTTCCGACGACCAGAAGCTTCGCCATATTCTCGGTGAGTGATTACTTTCATCTTATTTTCAGGCCTATAAGTATTGAACATTGAATCTGATTGAAGTTTTGAGGATTAGACGTAGAATTGTTTGCTAATTGTTTCAATCAAACATCAGAACTGTAATGCTTCTGAATTGAAGCTTATACTAAATAACAGTAATCATAAACAACTCTTAACAAAATTATACATCCAACTAAATCATAGACCTCTCAACAAAACAATGTTACAAACTCTTCCCACTATGCCGGAATAATTTTGGTGGTGGCACGAAATTCCACGGATCCATCAATTACGCATCAAAATTGGCGGGATAAGATAAACGAATTGAATTCTGGAGTTACATATCGTAACAGATTTTACATAGATCTTATTACTTTTTCTGAAGTAGCACAATTGTTGACTTTCCAAGTCATGTGGTCCAAATTTTTCACTATTACAAGTGCTCATAGAGTCTTCTAGCTATAGTGATAAATCATATATGAACTTTACTAGTAGTTTCATGGGACAATGGTTTCGCATCCAATCAATCATTTCAATTCCATCATCAGTTCCTCATTGACCGTAACATCAATTCCTCATTGATCGTCTGACAGAACGAAACTCTGACATAGAACTATACGAACCCATAAACATCTTCCAAATAGTGTTTGGAATCAGACTCTGTTTTCTTGTCTGAAATGGGTGTAAAACCCATTTTCTTTTCCTTTCTCCAACAAAATTATGACACAAGGCATATGTTATTATCAATGCAGATGCTCTTATAGCATCTTCAACCATCTAGTAAAACTTTAATTTTGCCGATTCTTTTTTAACTGATCGTAAAAATCTAGCGATGTTGCCCGGTTTATGTTAGTATCAATGTGGATGCTCTAAGAGCATCTCCAACAATCTGGCAAAACTTTAATTTTGCCGATTCCTTTTTAACCGATCGTGAACATCTAGCGATGTTGTCTGATCTTCAAATTGAACGACAATAATGTCATGTAAATCTTCAACCGCAAAACCCTAGACCCAAAGATTTGGTGATTGTTTTCATATGACCCACAAATTTGGTGTTTTAGAGTGTAACGGGAGTTTGAGATGTAAATGAGCTAACTATTTTTTAATGTTTTTTTGTGTTTTACAAGTGAATGTTGGAGATGTTCTTAGTCAACTATAATTGCACCTCAATCGGAATGACTCATCTAGTCACTATCGGTTAGAATTTCATACTTAAATGTCATATTTGTTCCCGATGAGCCAAGTCTCTATTGAAAATGAGGATTTTAAGGAAACGTATTTTATAATTTTACAAAAATCACAAAAGAATCAAAATTCAGATAATATCATAAACAATTTCGAAGTAACATTTATGTAATAACATAACTACTTGGAAAAGTGTTTTATAATTTTACCAAAAAAAAAAAAAAGCAGCGACATGTTTCAAATTTTAAAGATATTAGCAAAATGATTTGAAGAGTTGTTTTATGGGTTGTGTACATAGTACATGTAATGTAACTTAAGATTTTATTGTAACCTAAAAATGAAAAATTAATATAATATTTTTATTAAAAAAGAAATATATAAAATTTATGTTTGAATAAAATAGAAATTACAGGGTGGTGGTTAAACATGTTTTGATAATTTTAAGATCCCACAAAATTTTTGAATAAAATAGAAATTAAGGTGTCGTTTACTAAACGTTTATCCAGGTAAGCGCTTATCAAATCACTTTACTTTACCGGATGAATATGACAAGGGATAATAATCTTACCCAGTAAGAGCGAATGCAAGAATCAAGAGTCTTACCCGGTAAGTAAGGACAAAGACTCTTACCATGGTTAGCGTTTACCGGGATAAATTGTTGTATACGATGCGTTTTAGTGAATAAAATCTTACCCGGTAAGTAAGCGATAGTATTGAATTTTACCGATAGATGCTTACCGGGTAAGTGTTTAGGTAAACGGCCACTTAAATATGAATGTATCAAGTTAAAAATTATAAAAATTTTGTTTTTAGTATAATTTGTTTTACAAACTTTTATTATAATTGAAATATTATTTTAAAGTAAGAATGTAATTTTTTTAAAAATCAAGTATTATATTATATTAGTATTGTTTAATTATCTTGTATTTAAATATATTTATCGGATGGTTGTCATTTAGTTTCCTAAAAGTTGAAACATAGAGTTTTTAAAATACTGTAGATACATTAATAAGTTATAAAAATGAGACTTTAAGATATTATACATTAATTAGACAAAGTTGAATTTCGGTAAGAAGCGTAAGAAGAAATCTTCATCATTAGATCAATCTTAATTGAATGTCAACATTAATGAGGTATACCGGATTAATTTCCTTCTAAATAATGATTCATAGATAGACATGGGACTAAAAGTTATTAAAAGTTTATATCTCTTGTTGCGTTTCTCAGATAACTTCTTATTAAACATATACCTAATATATAAGTTTAACAAATTGTTTTCAACAGTTTTTTTAATTACGAGTTATTTTATAATTTAGTAAAGATATGTGATAATGAGACGTAAATTTAGAAACATTAAATTAATGTAAAAATACAAACAAAAGGAAATATGTATGTGTGTCTATACATACATAGTACATGTTTGAAAAAAACCAGAAACTTTCAAATATGAAAAAAAGGTCGTTTTTAACACTTGATTGTTTATCTTACCGATTAACATGACAAGGTCGAGAATTTTACCAGTAAGACTTAAGAGGCAAGAGAAGGTACGTGAGTTTCACCGGTAAGCGTTTATTGGGTAATATTGTTGCATAAGATTCCATTTTGATGGGCAAGAATCTTATTCTTACCTGGTAAAGTTAGTGAAAATAATGACACTTACCAATAAACTTTTACGTTATAAACATTTGGAACCCTAACTAAATAAACATATGATTTTGAAACAAATGAGAAGTTAGTCACTTACCTAACACGACATTTGCTACTATCAGAAGGAACAATATATTTTTTGGTTAACCATGGGTGTCTAAACCAGCTTTTGTGAACCTCGACTAATTCTAATGAACATTTGATGTAATTTTTTTGGCTCTAAAATCTCAACTTTTATTTATTTTAGAGAAAATAAAAAAGAACTTAAATAGCGTGGATTTTGCATATGGTCACCTCATTAAAAAAAATAAAAAAGAAACACATTAAAACAACCATCAAAATCCTAGTTTAATAACCAAACGTTCAAACGCTTTGTTAACAAGTTCAGAATAAAGACAGGTTAAAAGGAGTAAAGAAGAAAATAATTTCTTGGGAAATATTTCACCAGAAAAAAAAATGTGAAATAAAACCATAAGGGTGATGCCTGATTGATTTGAGCTTGACTAGGTTCAAATCCAAGAAGAAATAAAAATTATTTTATGATCACGGAGATTCAAATGTGGTGACTCGGGATTACACGCAAAGCAAATAGTCGTTCTGAGATTAGTAGGCTCGCATAACGGGTTGATATCCAAGTTAATAAAAAAATGTGGAGTAAACTTTCCTCTAATAAAAATTTGTAAGAATTTTGAAGATGCAAAACACATAAGGTATTCTAAATGTAATAACAATTGGCCCCAAATCAGAAACAAATGATAATCAAGGGCACGCCTAACACACAAAGGTTTGCATTAAAACCCCCTCAATATGAGAATAAGATCCACGGGACCTTTGATCGCTTAAAATTCATTACCACCAATAATAAAAGACCAAACTAAAGGACTTTTGGCCTAACAGTATCCAGTAACCTAACATTTCTAGAAGTTAAGGGTTTCAACCTCATCAAATGTGGGAAGTGTATGCGAGTTTTATCATTTATTGTTGTGTATAGATATTATATACTTACAAAAAAATAGTTCGTACAATAAGTCTTCTCTAAATAAAACTAGACATGGACAATAACCATCACACATTTAGAACAAATCATCAAGATGTTTGAAATCAAACGAAAGCAAAGAAGAAAGAAATATCCCCAAAAAAATTAGTCCATACAATAAGTCTTTTGCCTAGCGGTATTGTAGCTTTTAGCCTCCTTGGAGGTCAGAGGTTCAAACCTCACCAAAGGTGAGGAGGGTGTGTAAGTTTATTTGTTGCATTTGTTGTATATAAGTATTATATACTTCAAAAAAGAAAAAAGACATGACCTTCGGATTTCCAAAATTGATCTAAACCGTTGATAACGTAGATACATATGCTATGAAGCCACTATTCAAACACTCAAGATCCGATGGTTCAATCTTCGGAAAACAAATACTATTGGCTTTTGCCAAAAACTGCAACCGAGTTTTCAGTTGCCTTAGTTCCTATTTAATGTAACAAAGTTTAAAAAATTAAAAAAAAAAATCTAAAGCAATCAATTAATAAAGTTTTCAGAAATTCCTATTCGATTATCAAATTACCTGATTCCAATTATATCATATAATCTTTAAATGTAATTATATATGATATCCATTCATAAGAATTATCATTTATCAAATAATAATTTGAATATCTAACACTGAATCATTCAGACAATTTTATTCGTACGATTTCAACAAAGAAACCCATTGAGGCAACAAATTTATATCATTTCAAGATTCCACTAGTTTTCTTGGTAATATATGAATGTTCTGTTATGAATTTTGCATATTTAACAATGGGATTATATCTTGTTGAAGATGGTCTGATGCCAGAAGATTTGGGACTACCAAGAAGTCTGCAATTCCTTGAACCCGATAGTACCGTAGTCGTATACACCACCGTATATGAGAGCCAGAACTTCTCGGTAATATTCACAAGAAATAGTCTTTATATTCAGTAGCTAACTCCGGTTTTTAATCATAATGCATACAAGTTTATGACAATACCCAGTACTCTGTTCAAAGAGCCCTTCAGAAGAGGAGGAAGGCTAGATGGGCACAGATTATCCCAGAGTCTTAAGAGATGGCTAGACGGGTACAAATTGCAGACCCCGGCTGTGATACCAACTAAAAGATACATGAATCCTCGTTAGATTACTCTCTAAAAGAGCTATGAAAGTATAAATATTACTCTCTAAAAGAGCTATCAAATACGGCCCGAGTTGCTAACATAACCAATGGTTTAATAGATTTTTTGTTTATCGGGTGGGGTCGGTGTCTTGGGTTTATGATTATGTAACCATTTGATTTTACGCCGTTTTGCAGTTATATGTTTTCTTTCTGCCGGAAAATGGTGTGATTCCTCTCCATAACCATCCAGGAATGACTGTTTACAGCAAGCTTTTGCTGGGCAAAGTGCACATTAAAGCCTATGATTTGGTTAATCCTGATATCGCCTATAACAATCCATCCTCATTTCATCGTGAGTCCACTACCCTTTTTCCGTATACATATTATCCCCAGACCCTATTTTCCCGAATGCATTTGTTTTGGTTTGGTAAATACTCGTTGTTGAGCGGTGTTGCTTGCTGCTCAACCACAATCTCTTAAATTTATAGACAGAATATTGGACAATGGCTTCTTCTGATATGATAGAAGAAGCCATTGTCCGGTGGAATATCTGTTTTCTTTTTTGCGTAAGAGAGAATGAATGATCTCGAATATTTTTTTGTATTGTGTAGCGAAATTGGCATGCTTGAAAACCGACACTGTGTTTACAGCCCCCTGCGACACTTCTGTATTATATCCAACGTCTGGAGGTAACATACACGCCTTTACTGCGATCACACCTTGTGCGATTCTTGATGTGGTCGGCCCACCCTACTCTAAAAGAGACGGTCGAGATTGCTCATACTACAAAGATATCCCGTATGCTGTATCACCGGGTAAGACATCCACAACTCCGAATTGTACTTATAGTCTGTTATTCGTTGTTGTAATTAGCCGTTAGCAAAGAATGAACCAAGTATTGAAGAGAGAGAATAAAAAACATTTAAATAATGATGTCTCTTTAAATGATCGGTAGGATCAAAAGGGTTATATAGGATTTGGGGACAACAGATTTTTATTCGTATTATACGCAGAGCGAATCCGCATATGACATAATTGAAATATCAAATTACTATACAACATTGAGAGCTTTTTTGTTGATGGTTTATGTCAAATGATATCCCAGACGAACAAATGACAATGCCCGAAGAAGATGGCAAGTGTTACCGATGGTTAGAGGAGATCGAGATGCCAAAAGAATCGAAGATGGATAGAATCGAGTATCTTGGTCCTCAGATCATTGAGGTTAGTCCATAGGTGGTTCTCGCTTTTCGTTCGAGGGGTGTTATTTTCTTGTTTCCTTACCGTTCATGTACTTATGGAGATTGACCGTATATGAATATATAGTGATCTCATATCGCATTGTTTGTGTTTTGGTGTCGCTTTGTGGTTCATCATTTCTTTCTCATATGCCTACGATACAATATCGTCGTGGTAGTTTTATCGTTGCTTATAGCCTCTACCTTGGTAAGTACTAAGTAGTACCACGTAAGAGATAATGTTATTTAACAACACCTTCTGATCAACCATTGTTGCTGACCTAGATGTGACCCGATAAGAACGGAAAGGCTACTTACCCAATTAACGCTTACTCGGGGGGTAAGCGCTTATCGGGTAAGAGGTAGCACCCTACTTACCTTACTAGGTAAAATTCTTGGTTATCAAAATTATCAGTCTAAACGCGTCTCTTACTTGATAAATGCTAACCAGGTAAGTCATTATCCTCACTTAAGGTAAGATTTTCGGTTAGTAAAGTTAGAAAGTGGCACCAACACTCCCTCGACCAACAAGTATCTCTTACTTGGTAAGAGATAATTGAGTTACCCAGATAGTAAGGTAGCGTTTGGTATGCAAACATGATTAGACAGGACTAGACAAAATAGAACTGGACATGACAAGAGGGTAGGACTGGACTGGACGGGACCGGACTGGACAGAACAAGTGCATGTTTGGTGTTTGGTATGACTAGGATTGGATGAGACGTAACTAGACAAATTATCTCACAAAATTATTTGATTATTTTAAATATTATATAATAGTTATTAATAAAGTAAATTATTAAAGAATGTAATTTATATATTTTTTTCACAATTTTCATATAAATGAATACATACATATATAATGGAAACCAAATTTGAATGAAAAAATTGATGTAGTTTATGGTAGCAGTATTGATGGTGGAGGTGGTTTTGATTATGGTGGAGGTGGTGGTGGCCGACGGTAGTAGTGGCGATGGGAGGTGGTGGTCGATGACCGACGATGGTTATGGAGGTAGAGGCAGTAGTGGTTGGTAGACGACAATGGTTATAGATGACGTGAAGATGGTGGATTGTGGTGGTGGAGGCGGCGGTTGACAACGATGGAGATGGTCGACGGTGGTTGTGGAGGAGGTTGTTGCAGTAGAGGAGGAGTTGGAGGTGGCCAACGGTGGTAGTGGTGGTGGCAATGGTGGTAGTAGAGGTGGCAATGGACAGTGGTGATCGGTGGTCGACGGTGGTTGTGGAGGTATAGGAGGAGTTGGAAATGGCCAACGGGTGGTAGTGTTGGTGGTAATGGGTGGTGGTTGTAAAGGTGACAATAGACGGTGGTAGTCGATGGTGAAGGAGGTTGTTGTAGTAGAGGAGGAGTTGGAGGTGGCGAAAGGCGGTAGTGGTGGTGGCAATAGATAGTGGTAGTCGGTGGTCGACTATGGTAGAGGTGGAAATGGGCGATGGTGGATGGTGGTTGTGGAGGCCATGGAGGATGTTATTGTAGTGTAAGAGGAGGTGGAGGTGGCTGCCGGTGACTGCTGGTGGTGACGGTGGCCGAAACTAGCAATGATGACCATTAAAACAAATATTATATTAATGTTATCATCAAACTAGGGTATATTTGTAATATTTTAGTTTATGTCTCATTTTTGTCCCATCTTGTTCCACGTATTTTGGTGGAACAAGAAAAAGCATCTTTTATCTTATGTTGTCTCACTTTGTCTCAATTCTTGTCTATGTCTCATGTCATGCCAAACGTGGGACAGTGGGTTCTTGTTCTGTCTCATGCTACGCCAAACATTAGATTGTGATTTTTGTTCCGTCCTCTGTCATGTCCTGTCCTGTCTCATCCAATGTACCAAACGCAGCCTAAGTGTCCAGTAAACAACCTTAAACTCCGTTGGCCTCTACATTTTCCGAACCATGATCCCTCAAACCATCTTTTTTAGATTTCATCATTAAAGATTTGCTTGTCTTGAAATGATTTGTCAAGTCGCTTATCATATCATTAGGGGCTTGTGACTTGATTTTAACGGGTTTTAAGTCGAATATCATAGACTTATGAGATCAATTTCTTTAAAGTCTGACTAAGGGGCCTGTTACTAGATGTTTACCCGATAAATGTTTGCTGGTCACTTTGATGAACATGACATAAAATGAGAATCTTACCCGGTAAGACCAATGATAAGGATTCAAAGTCTTACTCGGTAAGTGAGAGTGATTATTATTACCTGATAAATGTTTATCAAATAAAATGTTGCATACGATGTCATTTTAATTGATTAAAATCTTACCTTGTAAATTAAGTTAAAGTGTTAAATCTTACAGATAGATGTTTACTAGGGTAAGAGTTGGTAAACGGAGTCGGACTAGGAATAAGATACATTATATGCTTGAAAAATTAGCATTGACCCCAAACCAAACTTGCTTTTATGACATTTTATGGTAGAATCTCATTGTAAATATATCTAATTACCATATAAGTCGGGAAGTGTAAAAAGAAAATAAAAAATACAAGCATCAATGGTGAGATGAAGGAAGAATCGTGTGAAAATAGAAATTAAGGTGAGAGGCGTAAAAAAGATTTGGACCATTGATCATTTTTAATATCATCCCCACCCCATGAATTGCGTTTATCATGGAAATTGATCTGTTTCGATGTACCACATTAGTGTTGATTTTCAATTTAGAATGATCCAATAATGAAGAACCCTTCTTACCCTTCTTAATATCAACTTTTTCCATTTTAAAAAATAGTCGGCTAGATGGATATATTTAGGTACATTTCACCTTTCACACCTTATTTTGATTATACATTAGGGTTTTTTTTTAATTATTATTATTAACATGGATATTTAACTAAACTAGTTATGCGAACCGACTAATCTCAGGACGACGACCTACTTTGCGAGTAGTCCGGAATCACTAGATTTGAACATTCGTGGTCACAAAGAGATTTTTATTTATCTTTAAATTTGAACCTGAGATCTCAATGCACTTTTGACTTTATGAGCTCAAACTCAAATCAATTAGGCACCACCTTTGTGGTTGGATTTTTTGTTTTATATGACATGGTTTTTGGATATAAATAAATAAATAAAATTAATTTATATTGAAATATATGAATGTGAATACATTGAAAGGTAAAAACTATTGTCATCTCACGTGTTCACCGCTATTTTTATTGGTAATTAAGTGGGTAACACGAGATTCAAACCGACGTCGTTCTTCTTTTTGTTGTTTTTTAATGAAATTTTGGAAAACCATTCAACTCGATCGTATTGTCGATGATTTTTAAACCATTTAACTTAGTATTTTTACAAAGTCTATGTTAGGTATATATAAAAGTTTGAGGTTCGGCTCATATGCCCGACTCGAAAACTCTCGAGTCTAGTAAGTTTGAAGCTTGGTCAGACCGAAGTTTTGGGGTAGACCCGGATAGGCTTGGTCTGAAAAAGCTCCGCCTGAAAAAAGCCCGATTGGACCCTTTTTCAATCCCAAAGCCCGACTCGACTCGACCCGTCCCAAACCATTTTTTTTGCTAGAAAGACCTATACCCAGACCTGAAAAAACCCGAGCCTTTGGGCATGTCTAGTCCTATGTGAAGTGGCATCATAATATCAATAATTCAAAATTAAATCCCCGATTTATGCATTTTTTTTTAAATTATTCATTTATTAATCTTGTTGTAATTTCTATGACTTTTTTGAATATTTGATAGACTTTTAAAGATTCATGTTACAACACTTTCTACATGGATAGAAAAAGAGATATGTGAGTTTCGTATAAATTCAAAGTTGTGGATTACCAATAATTTTCACATAGTTTAAGTTGAATTCGGAGTTATTAAGCTAGCATTTGTGTTACAGTTCATGAGCGTGTCGTTTTCTATTTCTCCTTTTACAAGGGTAGTTGAGGTCTTAGAACTTCTGTGCATGTATGTACAGTCGACAGAGATCAATGATCAGTTTGTGCTCACGTTATTTTCTTATGCTGTCGCTTTTTTTAGGCGAATGTATATGAAGTTGTTATTCGATATGTCAATTTTTAAGTAATGGTGGTCCTTCAGATGAAAAGAGTTGATATCGACATTTTATATGATTTGTTATGAATTTTGTTACAATATGTATATGCAACGTAGATGGAGCCATCAGGTAAGATTTTGAGTTAACAAACCAAACAACAGTATTCCTAATGATAATTTGAGAGGTAACTTAACCAGTAAGATTTTGAGTTGTTTTCTAGAAGCCAGCAATTCAAATGTTAGGGTCGTTTACCCAAATGTTTACCCGGTAAGTGTTTATAGTAAAAGTCAACACTATAATTTATTTTATCGGATAAGATTGTAGTACATTAAAACGTATCTTATGCAACAATTTACTTGGTAAGCGTTTACCCGAGTAAGAGTCATCACCCTCACTTACCGGGTAAGACTCTTCATCCTTATCATCGCTCTTACCGGGTAAAATTCTTGGCTCTTGTCATGTTCATTCAGTGAGAAAAATTGTCCGGTAAGTACTTACTAGGTAACCTTTTAGTAAACGGTCCCTTAGTTTAAAATGATCATTTTCAATCATTAATCACAGATTATTTACTAAGAACCAAAAAATAAATTATTAAACTCATTAAACAGATAAAAATATCATTAATTAAAATTATAAATTAAATTATTCAAAAAACTTTACATAGGTCATAATGTTGCTCTCACTTTTATGTTTAACACAAAAAACAAGACATGGGTTAGTGTCTTTTGCCCCATGTGTGGTCCAACTCATAAAAGATCCATCCAAAAAAAAAGTTTCATTTAGAAAGTCAGATAAAAATCTAATTAAAAAAAGACTGATCTTGATAAGTTCGAGATGAAATCTAGATCGAGTCATACTAAAAAGAATCATTAGGCCACAAATATTTTTCACAGCCCGATTAAAATTCAGTCTAATCGACAGGAACCCTGGAAGAGTCGTCGACTCCAACCATGAAATATTCACTGATGGGTGGGACAAGCTCTTCTCTTTAACAACATGAAAAACCAAAAGCTCTGCTCTCCGTAACCACTGTTACACCCTAAATCAGGTTTATTTCTGTATTTATTAAAACGAACTTAAAATATCTGAAATAAACTT